GGATCTCTGTCTTTGAAGAATAACATAACAATGATATTTGCAGAAGACCATTTAATGACTGGAACATATCCAAGCTGTATATGCTTCCCCAAAGCAAAGAAGAGCTTGTTTTACACAGGAAGACATGCTGCCGAAGTAGTATCTCATCCCGATGACATTTTTTTTCCTTAGTAAAACGCATGCCCCTGTAGAAGTACATCAACAGTATAAATAATAGGAGCCCTATCCTTTGCTTCAGAACAGGCAGAGCGTTCTCCGAGATGGCAAAGCCAAACTGCAAAGAGCCCTTAAGAGGGCACATTGCTAGAGCATACCTGTGATATCCTGGGGTGAGGAAGGTACTTCAGCCTACAGTTAGGCAAGATAAGGCTGACCAAACACCCAGGAGGTTTTTTTTTAACTTAGGCTGAACCATTTATGTTACACAGAAAGCCATCGTTCCTCTACCATTTACAGAACTTGGGCATTTTGGCAAGTTCACTGATCAAAACCGAGACAAAAAACCACACAGCTCTTAGACGTTTGGGTCTAGGCATGCCTCTTGCACAACAGCACGGTTAATTGTGAGCGCAGACTCTCATATGCAAGATCATTCTGGTTGAAGTGTCTCACAAGAAATGAAACCCCTCAGATCAATGAATTGGGGTTTGCGAAGGTTTGAGAACACATTACACTGACAGTTTTAAATACAAAGAATCACTCATATTCCTCCTGCAGGAAAGGGTACGAGCAGATGCTCCCGGAGGAAAATAAAATCATGGAGGTTCTTCAGTTATGTTTTGTTGTTTTGGGATTCTTTGTGTTGTTTTTGGCAGATGGGCAAACATCTTCCTTTCATAAGGCAAGCAGAATCAGAGCAAACCTTGACAGACAGGACAGTAAGTAAAAACAGATCCAAATTAGACGTTTCCCATTCCAATTTCCTCAAGCAAACTGTCTAGGCAAGCGCGTCTGAAGAATTTCAGGACTAGTCCTACTGCTTTGGGCTAGCCAAGAAATTAAACTGCTGTATTAGCGTTACCTACTGATGCTACTAAAAGCACAGGGACACAAGTTTTTGACTCCACATAGAAAAGACAACGTCTGGAGATGAGCCCAAAGCAACAGTGTTGTTTTCCTCTGTTTCCACAGGTGATAAGGTAGAGATGCCACAGACCAGTAGTTCCACCATCAACAGCCACATCAAAGTTCAATCAGAGCATCAGCACCACGTTCCTGAAATAAGAATTGCCCAAAAACATCAGAAAGCAAGGACCAACATCAGTCAGCTTTGGTCTAGCTGGACTTGGTCTGAAGCCATGTAGACCAAGCAGTAGTCACGAAGCAAGCAAGCAGGAGATGGCTGAAGCAGCCATCCTACCTGCAGATGAGGAGCCATTGGAGGTACAAAGTGATAGGACATCTCACCAACATTACATTGTAGACAAAAAAAAACAACACCCAAACCAAAACTGCTCTTTGATGCAGTCTGCTAACTAGTTTTTGGAAACCCCAACACGGGTTAATCTTTCCCCCATGAATGAATTTACTGAAGCAGCACTCCTGAGACCACCCGCAGGTCTCAAAGACAGAACTATACTGACACATGGCAATGAAAATGCTGAGAAATCAGCTTCAGAAAAGCATCTGTGGCTCAGCAGAAGCATGCGTTAAAGGTGCTCTCTAGGTATCCAAAAGGAAATTAAGTAGCTCCAGCCTCTATGAAGGGATGGACCTCTAACTTGCCTTCTTCAAGGCCTGTCGTATGGGCCAATCTCGTACGACAGGCAAGTTTGAGTCTCTTGCAAAAGCCACACAGTATCTGGAAGGGTTTCAGACAATATTATCTTCCTTACAAAGATAATTTACCTACCATAGAAGATAAAAGCAAGAAGCTCATTCTAACACAATAAATCAAAACAGAATAAAACCAGTGACAGCTGAGACAACCATTGCCATTCACATACAAAAATATCAACAATAAATGATTTAGTACCTCAGAAGTCGTAGGCAGCTATATAATTGCACCATGCCAGTCCTCAGGAACCCAGAGCATTAGAATGTTTAGCATATTCTTGCAATCATCTACTTCCTCTTGCCCATAAAACCATGGACAAACTAATCATATTTTATAAAATCAACACTTAATTTAGGCTCCTGCTGTCTTTTGCACAGAGAACAGCACACAGGTCATTCAACTTGAAGGGGAGTCATGGAGAAGCCCTGCTGTTGCATCAGCTTACTGTACCAAAACAAAGCAGAAGCTAAGTATAAGAGAACTAAAAAAAAAAACCCCTATAGATTTCTACAGACATTCTTTTTCCCCAGAAGTCTCAAAACTCATATCACTTTTGGGGGTCCCCTGCCTTGACTTATGACTTGTTCTGAACATGCACTTCATGATCTGGAAGTTATTCCCAAGATGAACTGATCTTCCGACAATTTGCAAATAATCAAGTTCTGAGGCAGCAAGTTCAATTTCATATTTAAACAGAAACAAGTATTCAGTTTTTCACACTAAAGCTGCAAAGCGTAAGTCACACACTACAGCTTACCGCAGAAATGACTCAAACTGTACAGCTGCTGCACCAATACACCTGGTATTTATGCAGAAATAAGCTTCATCACAAAAACATCCTATCCCTTACAAAAATTACTTACAATTCATTTATCTTTGATAACATACACAAACTGGCAGCATTTTGGGCTCAGGCTTCAAGCTACATTTACACAGAAAATGGACTACAGTGGTGCTGTATATTGCAGGAGGTCAAGGGCACACATCTCCCCAAATGCCTACATCAGCACTAACACCCCCTAGCCATTTTTAGCATTGATGTCACTTTTCCAGGCTCATGGGTCATTAAAAAAGCAGGTATTAAGTAAAAAAATGTAATATTGCATTAAAAAGCACTAATGAGTTTGAACAAATATTAAACAATTGTTTTCAATTTAAAGAGACTACAAGCAGGATGCATCTGGGCCAAAATGGAGTTTACAAAAAGGCAAAAGAATCATCCCCTGTTAAAGAGGTATTTTGGAGAAGAATGACAATTCCTTCAGTGGCTGCAACTACAACGACGTGCAGCACTATGTTGTACCTACCTGTCCCTGAAGTTCCATTTCCATCGTTTAAGCTGAATGAAATAGCAAAAATAAAACTGAGTGGAAAGGTACTTTGAGAAGATTTAGTGCATTTCTAAGGACAGGGCATAGGGGGGGAAAGGAAAGGAGAGGGAATGTTTTAACACGTATTAAAAAGCAAGTTTCCCACACCCAGGAGAGAATTCCATGACCTGAGAGCTGCTGGAGAAGAACTACTGGAGATCCGGTACAAAATCCAGAGCAAAGCAATCCAAAATGTATTTTTGAGGAAAAAAAAAAAACATTACTAATATGCTGCTAGATACCAAGTTACACTTCATACCATGACCATTACACAACTGCCTCCAGCATTCACTGGTACCCGGCAGAGCCAGACTGCCTTCAGAAGAATCTCCATTGCAAGGCAAAATGTTAACAGACAAATCAGTGCTTCTACCAACTGAGCAACCCTAGAAGCAAAGCGACAGAAAAGCATCTTACTGCCTGCTGACAATTCAGCCCGACGTTTCCCTTTTCGCCCCGTACTACTTTCATCAGGCAATGCAGGGTGCGACCTTTCCGATGCAGGCCTGAGCAGTGGTGTTCGATCTCCCCTCGGCAGCTCAGGATGATTTCTGGGCTCAGTGAGAAGTCTTCCATTAGCATGCGCCGGTAATCCAACATTTCACCCTGGCACTCGCTGCTCACTTGTCGACCTGAGCCAAGAGGAGACAACGTGATTTAGTATTAATGCTTAGCAGAGCCCTTCTTGACCTACGCTACCATCACGTTGGAAGAATAGGGACGATGTCTACACCCTGGACAACACCAGATTGCAACAAGTGTGCTAAAGCAGACATGCTGGGGATTAAACCAGTTGTTACGGTAGCTCCCAGCATTTAATTGAACCTGTAAAATAGCCGGTCTATGGATTCAATACGTGGATTTGAAAAAAGGGATTCCTGAAAGCTTAGGAGAATCTTATTTGGATTTCAGATTACAGGAGATGCTTTTGAAGAAAAGCTGAAAACGCTCAGTGATCTGCAGTTCTGTGGTACAGGTCAGCTCTTCCCTGTATGCTCAAGGGCTCGTTTCTTCCCCTGTAGAAACAGAAGTCACCTCTGGTAATCTACCAGCTTGATACGTAATTGGGGGAGGAATTTGTCCAGACAGCAGTTTAAACATTTTCTGAGGAAAAAGGTTTTCTAGAGCAATAGCACATAGTTGCTCAGGAAGCCAAAACACAGAATAGAATATGTTACCAAGAGTATATACAGAGTGTCTAACAAACCGCTGCAGTTGCAGAGAATCTAACTTTAATCAATGCTTAGATCTGCTATAAGCTTTCCTACAGTCCCCATGTAGACAGTTTGCTGTTTTTTTTAATCAAAAGGAACATGCCTTTTTTGCTATGCCCTCCCCTTAGCCCCCATCACAACCTGTTCATACACGTACAACGCCCCATGCAACGGAGGTCCAATACCCCAACGGGGGCTCCCAGGCATTACAATACAGACACGTGGAGGTGCGTGGAATAATTAGTGTTCCTCCTGGGCTATGCTTCGTGCATGAGCCACACGCTGCAGAACCTGTTCCACCATGAAAGTGGGAGTTAATGAACTTCCTGAACTGTTCAGAAAACTGAACAGCAGTTTTCTGCGTGTAATTGAGGAAAGCACCTGCCCTGCTGCAGGGAGAAGGAAAAAAACCCACAAGTTTTCCACAAACAGCACGCGTCATTTCCACATCAATCAGAAGCAATGAGTTATTCAAACTCACAGATTGCTTATGGTGTTACGGCAGCCTTTCCCTCCCGTGCCAGGGGCATTGCAGCATGCAGCCCTGCTGCTGAATCAGAAACCACCCAGCCGCATGCCAAGGGGGAACCCAAACAATTCTCCAGTGCAGCTTTAGAGGATATAACATGTTGTTTTACGTGTTACGGCAATTTCACAGAGAACCTTTAGTATGGTCCTGCCGCATAGGGCCCTCTAATGCCTTTGGGACAGCCGCTGGTGTTAGGACATCTCCAGCTTACACTAACTTAAATGAACAAAAAGAATATTCTCACACTTACCTTCCTTCTATATAGGAAAAACTAGAGTTAGAGAAATTAAGGCATTTTCCTTGCAGTTCAGTAGCTTGGGTAAGAACATTACTTACAAGAGGCAGAGGACCGAGTATCCCTGGCTTTCCCCGAGTGATGATAAGCAGGTTCTCTATTCTGTGTTTTAACCCGGTAGCATATTTAATGCTCACTACATAAAGGAGTAAAAAAGCTGCTTGAATTCACAGTGAATAGAAGGATTTGCAATTACACATCATCAGTCCAAGTGGGATTTGCTATTTTGCATTTTAAACTTCTTGCCTACGCAACAGGAGTCGGCGTCAGAGGTTTACTCAGCTATTCTGACCTTCAAAACAACAGTGATGAAAGCATTATGATGAGGAAACTTGCCTCTGAACCAAGGTTTGGAAAAGGTTACTTGGAGAAGGGGACTGTAAATACATGTTGAACCTGAAGGTCCAAGAGAAACTTTCAAAATCAAGGTCCCAACAAGTCACACATCTCTTGATTGAACTCCACTTACCTCTGTGCACAGCAGACTCTAAACACATCAACAGATAGGAAAGCCTGGCTTCCCGAGACCGGGGAAGGTTCTCCACATTACAGCGGTACTTCTTCAGATCACTTTTACAGGACTTTGCCAGCGAGTAGCTGACTTTGTAGTCTTGAGCGATCAGCTTCTGGCGGGTTGTCAGCGCATCACGACACTGCAGGAGACACATTGGCATGGCTGAATGAGCTTCCGCACACTGGTAGCGGAGAGCTAGACCTGCTGCTGTTAAGTTTTCAAGTTGTGTTTCAAAAGACGACTGATGCTTTAAAATTCATGCGTTTAAGCTGGACTGCAGTTAAATTTCATTTGTCTCACAGAAACCACACAGTTAACAATGCACACCGAGGTCAACCAATCAAGGGTTTTAAAGGCAGCGGCTCTCTGCAGAGCACTTCTTAAAACTGCACATTCATCCAGCTTTTTGTGAAGAGCTACGGCTGAAAGCGTGACTCATTTTTGGTAACTAGGATCAGTTGCTGACATTTATCCCAGCTGTGGTACACACTCACCCCATGCCCTCAAGAAACAACTTTTTTCCAGACGCATTTACAAAATAGCGTGTTCTTTGGATTTGTTCTGCAACGTGCCGAACAGATGACAGCAGATAAAGCAGTCTAACTGTGGGAATTTCTAGCCATTTTCCACAACTGGTGAGCCTCACGAGGATGCACTGTGGCCAAACCCGAACCCAGCAGCTGAAAGAACAACCCTCTAAATTTCATCCAAAAACGGGCCTGTAAAAACACTGCTACGCTTTGTAGCTTTTGGTTTAAATTATATGAAAATTAAATCTGACAGCGGCAGATAATTCAGAATAGCTCAGGCAAATTTGTCCATTCTCAGGCTATTTGAAAGGAAGGAAAACTGCATGTGTAGGGTGGGGAGAAGAGGGAGCAATCTCTGCACAAGGAACAGCATAGCCCTATCGCCCTCTCCCCTTCCTTACATGAGGTTTTTGACTTTTCTCCTCCTTCTTCCCACACCTACTCCAGGACCTGGAAAGCCCTACTCCAAGATATTCCCACCCCCTCCTTCATGCTCCCATCTCTGTGCCATGATTGGGACCTTGGGACTGGACAAACTTAAAGCTCTGGACAGAGGGAGATACAGGCTCGCAGATACCTCATCCCCCAAAGCAGGGGAAGGTCGGGTACAGCCAGGGAGCCCAGCCTGGAGAGCAGTTTTGGATTACACAAAGCAAGCCACCCACTAGGCAGCTACTGTTGGCTACATGTGTGTGCAGCAGCCGATGCCATCAGCAAGGAGGGACTTTTTAGTGGGTAACAGCTTCTACAAAACTAGTGACTTTGCAGATGGTCCAACCTTGGCAGCTACAAGAGTGAGAACTAGATCTTGTGTTCCTCCTGCTCTGCAAACTGTGCCCTCAGAGCATGCACCCCTCTCTCCCTACCAAGTCATCTGCTACAGCTTTGTCTACCCTCTCAACATCTTACATTCGTATCTTAGACAGCTGATCATGGAAAAGACCCCTCAAAAACCACCACTGTCCCTGTACAACCAAAACCAGGTCAAGCAAAAATAGCAGTCCATTTCAGTAACGCGCTTGTACAAAACGAAGCTTTGTTTCAAGCCCTCAGGGATCACTCTCCGGTTTGAATTTGTTAATTGGAACCAAGCTCTCAGATAGCTAACGCATTTAAAGAAAGGGAAATGAGTCAGATCCCTCCAGGCCTCTGAATCGGGCTCCTTCAGCGGAGCTTCTCTGAGGAGGGCTTTACAGATATCCATCTTCGTATGCTTTCAGACAGATGATACAATTCCACATAATCCCAAACAGTATGATGCTGCTTCTGAAATCACCAAAAGCATTGCTGCCTTCCCAAAACACCTACACCAATACAAACTCTTTTCAGGACTGGCTTTCCAGAACAACTTTGCTGTTGTTGTTGTTGAAAACCACATCTTCAGGAAAAACATACGGAAAACTTCAGTAACTGAACTGTGCATCTTTCCCACAGAATTTGCTGCTTCATAGTCTGACACTCATACCCTTGAAAACAGAAGTGAAACACACGCAGCTTCCTGTGCTGAGGCATTTGGGCCTTTTGTTTCTAATCTGTACGTTATGACAGCATTTATCCAAGGCTTACCCCAGCACGGTGCGACTTCTACTTTAAACACTCAATCACAGTGCTACCACTTGAGCTCCATGTCTACCTTCCCAAATTACCCACCCAAAAGCTTTGATTTATTTAAATCCTTAACTTTAAAGGCTGTAACCTGAGTACAATTAATTCAAGCCATCAGCACGTAGCTGGAAACACAAACATATCAAAGTAAAAGCATCTGTTAAAGCAGTCTGTTATCTGACCACACAGATGATGGATTTTCCTCAACACTGGAAAAGAATAACGTAGCCTGGACTGATGAATGATCTGATGATTTCTGCATTAAGGATTTGTCTCACTAAGACAGATACCTACCTTTTCACTCATTGATTCTTCAAACTTGTGATTAAAGAGGCACTTGTAGACTCGGCCTTCCCCAGCCTGAGTCTGTGAAACAGAACAGTAACATTTACCATTAAAGATAAGACTTGCAAAGCTTAACGAGCAGGATAAATTACACCTAAAGAGATTTATTTTTTAAACTTTAAATATTAACTTTAATGTATTAATATATTTCTAATGACAGTGAGAGCTTCTATACTATAAAAACATTTTAAATTTTATTGCATTAAAAAGAGATCCGGTCCTGTTCGTCACCCTCATAGCGAGAAGATGCTCAGCTGATACAAGCTAACTCAGACTGAACAATGCAGCTTTCCAGCTCATGGCTCCAGGGATATGGAGTGCTGCGAGTAGAGTCAGACCAGGCTTACCTTGTGCAACAGCTTACCACTGCAGAAGGGAGCAGTCACTTACCTTTGCTACCTCCTCCCCATTCGAGTCGTTCCACTCCCTGTCACAGCAGCTCTGATGCCCATTAAACCATTTATGCCAATTCAGTTCATTAGCCCACGGGAAATAATGCTTGTTTATTTGGGTGAGTGAATTTAATGCCAGATTTATTGCAAAACGACAGCTACAAGGTGTCTGTTTTCAGTAGTACACGATCTCACTCAGGGTCCACTCTACCGTTCCGTTCCTTTTTCCAATGGGGTTTTGGGTTTTTTAATGGATTACTGCAGAAGAGAAGGCAAGAGGAGACTACTCACGTTTTCACAAAATCGTTCTCTATCATCTCGACATGCAAAGTAGAGATGCCGGTCCAAGTGGAAGTCATCCGAAGAGAGTTCAGCTACACGAAGAATTGCTTTCTTACACTGATCAGAAACCTGAATTCGAGGATCAGTCTCCTCCGCCTCTTTTACCAGGCCTTTTTCCAGGCATGCCACCACCTCTCCTTGTGAGTGGGCATCCTATGAGAAGAACAAGACAACATCTGTAACCAGGCACTTACATGATCAAGTCATCTGTGATTCTGGATAAGCACCACATAAATTAAGCAAACAAACAGTCTACATATAGACTTCCAAAAGTCCAGCCTAAACTGCATTTACATTCAGAGGAGGCAACAGTTAATATCTGTACTATCCACACACTTTATACACCACCACCCTGCTGATGGTCACCATGAAATCCCCCCTCCAATGCTCTGGGTTTGTTTTCATGTGACTTAATGAGATTATCACTACTTAGTCACACTGCTCAGAGCAGTTTACCAAAACGGCCAAATTATCTTTAATCTGACATAGCTCTCTTTGCACCATGGCAACAGCAAGCAACAGTATCACATTAAGAACGTACTTGGAGGAGAGGAAAAAAAAAAATCATAGTTCCTCCACGCTGAGACAAGCCTTCAGTTTGGGTAGTGATAATTAGTGATGCTAAAAAGGCCACAAAGGAGCTTTGACCAATGTAGGCTTCTCAATGCTAATTCCTCCATTAAGAGAATAAAAAAAAATTCGAATCATTCAAAAGTAGATGAAGTCTCAGACAATACAGTTCTGGCCCAATACTGTACGCCACATCCACTGTCCTGCAAACCTGAAGACAACTTTGGACTATGACCAGCGACTGCCAATAAATGTAGAGAGCTTGTGCTTTCTATGAAAGCGCGGAAGAGGCAGGGCGAAGCTGATCAAAGCTCCATTTAGTCTCCTACATCCTTTTCACGTGTTTAGAAAGGGAACCGTACCCCCTCTATACCTCTGTAGGAGGCGTGACTCCTCTAATAAACAAGAACTCTTCTGGAACAGTTCTCTCAAGGCTTCTGCAAGTTCTTCCCGTGAAGACCACCTTAATTTATGCTGCTCTGCTGTGAGAGGATATCGCTGCTAAACTTGTATCAGACTATCTGGAGTATACAACAAGGCACGCATATTTGCATACATCTGAGTCACTCAACCTGGCATTTGCAGTAATCATTTAGGAGCTATCCCTTCTGCTCACTCCGTCAAGTAGATTCATCCATTACTGTTGCAGCAGCATGAGTAAGAGAGCAGTCTCCCTAAAACGCGACCATGACTATTCAAAGCCATGCAACTCTTCCAAATCTTTTTTGTTCTGACACGTCTCCTCAGGCGGGCAGCCTTTGATTCCTGTTTTAACTCTGCTACACTTGGAGCACAAGCAGAATTGGCCGATTACAAAGTTGTAAACACAACCCAGAAGTATAATCAGTTTAAAAGGGCTAAAAGTAGTTTTCCCCTTAAAAAAAAGGCAAAAACCCCAAAACCCACACACCCCAAAACTCCTTATTTTGGTTTGCTCTTTTCTTTGAGTGGGAACTGGCCAACTCCACACGCTGGCCAGATACCAGCATCTGTGAAGAAATATAATTACGTATCAACAGTCCCTTTAGGACTGAATCCAAAAGGGATCTGAGGAATACTAGTTAGCAGTATGTTCACCATATTACTTAAAATTGACATTTATCCATAACCACGCCAAACACAAACACTGTTCCGCGAATCCTTGTGGTCAGTCATAGGTAGTAATTACAACTGAGGAGCTGGCAAGCATAAATGATTGAAAACAACCATTTCAAGCTCCTCTGGCAGTTTTTTTCTCCAGCCTAGGTGAGGTTGCAGCTGGGAGGCAAGGCAGACCAAGATTACTCTCACACACCTGCAGCCTCCCCTTGCAAGCCAGCAAGGAGGGCACAAAGCAAGCTTTTCCTGCTAGGAAAATCAGAAGATTCCTGGTTTCTTGCAGCCTGGGTCTAGACTCCTGGTCAGAGTCATACTAGATATGAAAGTAAACCTATTTTTAATAGTCTAGTGAAAGCGGATTTCCATATGCTGGATGCTGAATGTTTACTGTTGCATTTCAGGGACACAACATGAAATGACTAATTTATTGCATTACTTTGCAAATAGAGTTTTTCCATTTGGGTAGATCATCCTGCAGTGCTGGCTCCTCTGCTGCTGTGTATTAGAGCAATTTTAAAACATGTCAGACAACAGAAATAGAAACACACACAAGTCAACACAGCTTGGCTCCTGAAAGATGCAGTCCTGCCCTTTCCTCCTGCCTCCAAGCATTTACATGCCCTCTTGTGGTGCCATTAGTGTTCCTGTGCCCACCTGACACTGTTTGGGAGATTTACTGACCTAATCTGGGGTTCATTTTCAGGCAGATCAGGTCCCTGAGTGCTACTGCTAACTAGTTAAGACAGCTTAAGGAGGTCCTAACTCTTTGTTTCTTCAGAAGTGCATGAAGGCAGCCACGCTACTGGCCAAACAGAGTATAGATGGCACTTTACGAATGTGGTTTAGAGAAATATCACATCAAGCTTTAATTATAGGCTAACACCTACTGTATATAAGATTGTACAATCTCTTATTGCAGGCTAGAGGGGAAAAGAAACACGTACAGCTGCACTCAACCGTCATCTTCTAAAGCAGCTGGCAACCAAAAGTTTGACAGGCTCATCCTAAGGATGGCAGGACAGCTCTGACATTTGCGGTACCTGCATCATTTCGCAGCTCTACACCACACAGAGCTGCCTGTTCCCACCTGCACTCCACGTGCCACCAGTCCTGCGGGGCCAGCTCAGCTTCGGAGGCACCAAAGCCGAGGGTTGGCATCCCACGGCGTGAGCTCTCAGGGTCCTGCTCCAGCACCGGCTGCCTGGTGCGTACAAGGGTATAAACGCCTGCTGCGGCTCTGCTGTGGAATGAATCCCAACAAAGCTTTTCCTCTACCCAGCACCCTGTTGTTGGAAAACCTCCACCTTAGAGTTGAAGACCTTTAAGTTCACTCCACAATCAGGACTCCCCAAAATTGCTGCAGGGGCTGACAAGAGTCTAGGCCTCATTTCTCCAGTGCAACATATTGAAATACAAGAGATTAAATCTAAAAACCACACGTTTCTTGGAATTGTTGCCTCACCACCACTATCAATCTTAAATGGAGAATTTTAACTGAAAGTTGCAAAGATCTGTTAAACATACTAGATAATTACCTAGTCTGGAGTGCCTTGAAACTCTTGGTAGTTTTATGAAAGGATACATTTAGATCCACAAAGGATACAAGCAGCTTTCCAATACTGTCATACGGCACTTTGAGCCACAGAGCAATGGAACTAAGTTCTAAATGTGCCCAAGCAAATCCCCTTCAGCACAACGCTTTGGGAGATTTTAATTGCTATGAGCAAAATTCAAACTCCAGGCACATGGCTTTAGGCCAAGACAGAATTTTAAAAACCTTGTTCTTACTTTCATTTTCCATCAGAGATCCCCCCCGCCCCAGGTATAGTTCAGGCTTTGCAGTTCTTGTTTATTTTTTTGTCATTTTCAGAAGCTCCCCCGGAAAAGACTTTATTCTGTCTGAAACCTGACATGCCTCGAGCTCATGACTGTTCTAGATGCAGACTTGCAGAGAGAAGCTAGAAAAGCGATCAGAAAAGAGTCAAGAGTAGAAAGGAGCAGCAGGCAGGAGGGTAAAACATAACCTGCCTTACCAGCACAGCACCTTGCACTGAACGGCCGTGCTGACTTGCTGGAACCAGAGCAGTCAGGCTATGAAAAACCACCCAGCAGATCTATCGCGAGTTCCAGTTTGGCACTCCACCTGGCTAACCTGGACACCAGGGTTACGAGGATGGCTCTTAGATTAGCTAATTCCCAGTACTTCAGCTGATAGTACACTGCTATAATACTACATTAAGTAAACAAAAACTGAGCTGAATGTTATCTCTTCCCATTTAGACTTATTTCCCCTCTGTGTCCAGTACTTCTATGAAATATAGTGAGAACAACTGTACTCGAAGCACTTAGGGGTGAAAAAAGCAAGAAAACAATGGTCTCCTAATGTGTCTTTTTTTAGGAATCTGAAAAATACTATTATCTGGTAAAGTACTACAACAGATGTGCAACTGACACTTACGTAGCCTTCATTATGGCAAATAATCAGCTCTAGTTTGGACAGCGTGGCTAAATCAAGCACCCAGGCAACTATACACTACCCACTAGTTCGATACAATCCTGGACATTACCGGGATCGGGAAAGCAGCTCATTCTGATAGGCAGCCCAATAAGAAAAGCTCTGTTGCAATTACCAATTTCAATTTCAAATTAGACCCCCATTGCATGAAGACAACGAAAGCTTTAAATACCAGGCGACCAAATTCACTATAAAGCACAACAGCCAACTGGAAAGGTGACTGAAACTACTATTAAATATTTCTCCATTAACCAGAAGAAAAACAAACAAACCCCAACTCCACAACACAGGCATATTACAAAACTTAGGCTATAGATGTGTCATTAGAAAGCATTTTCTGCTATATACAGCAAAATGAAGTCTACAGTCAGATCAAGACTTCTAAGCTGAACGTTATTGCTCTTAAAGAGCGGAAAACCAACAAGAAACATGGAAAAGCAAGCACTGGAAACACCACATCAGAAGCAACAAACCCAGCAGGAGCAGAATTCAATTAGAAAGTAGAAAGCAAGCTAAAACAAAAAAAAAGTACAGAAAAGGAAAATGGTTAGCTAGCAGAGGGGCTTCAAGAGGCAGTGTAATTCCAGAATACCTACTGAAGTGCCTTTTACAGTTAAAAATGCCAGTTTATCCCAGTTACTACGATGAAGCTATCATACTGCAATCTGCTAGCCGCCTGATGTGGATGGAGTTAGTGGTCTAGCAGTGCTTATTTCCATAAAAAAAGAGAAAGATGAATCTCTTCCCTCATCTTCCTCCTCAGGTGTCCAGGTCCTATTTATTAAATTCACCGTTACATTCAGTCACACAAAAGGGTAATGACTGTTTCTCTACAGGCAACTCTCAGAAGCTACAGCGTGGAAATAAAACCTGAACCAGCATCTGATGGGAGCAAATTAGATGAGGTTTTTCCAAAGCAGAAAAGGGATAGAACAGAACACCAACAAAAGAAATGCTTGCATAGCCATTTATAGCTGTTTCCATAGCAGTATAAAATACTTCAGTTGCTCTAAGTGCCAAGGATGACAGCATAACAAAAGACTTCATAGGACAGGCTGCGACGCTTCCACAAACCAAGGCAAAACGTTCTGGGTTGGGTACCAAGAAAGTGAGGAATATGCATAAACCGCACTAACCCCCATAGAAGTTTGGTTAGCGACTCGCTTTGCTATCCCACAGAAACTGGGTGACCCAAAGTTTGCATTCGTTTCCCCCTCCCAGATGCCTTGCGACCTTAGCTACCCCGGCCATCCTCACCCATCTTAACTTCTGCGACCAAGACGGTGGGTTACACACAGTTATGCACACTAGCCCGCCAGCATTGGTTTCACTTCTACTACGCGAGATTTGGCTTATGCTCACGAAATCCACTCTACTGTACCCTTCAGTGCTACCCTAAGTACTTCAATTTATTTTAATTTGGTCAAGCCACAGGTAATACGCAGACCTGACACCCAGGACTCCGTATTACACTTCTGATTCTATACTGATTGTTAAAAGCAATTTCTCATTTCATGAGGTCCTTCAGCCCAGTATTAAAAGACAGCCTTTAGTTTATAGAGGAAAGCAAGTTACTCAGCTGCTACCAGTCTGAACCTGTGGAGCCTGCAAGTTCCTCCCACTTCTATGGTTGCTTTTGTTCTTGAAAGCAAGTCCGTATTTTTGTGCTTTCTGTTGTTCACCTAAAGTCTTCTGGAATACACTAGCACTTCAATTTACCACACTATAGATGTGAAGCTGCTTACAGCAGCGAACATCTCAAACAGCTAGGAAAACTTTTTTTTTTAACCAGAAAAGTATATTTTTTGTTATATACCTCCTCATTAATAGCTGATTTAATAGACTAATTCTTAAAAGCGTAACAGCTATAATTTAAAAAGCACTGTAAAAAGTTGATAGGCTAATTTTAACTTTATCCCTAAAAATAAAAACTTACCATAAAAGAAGCCACTCATTCCTGCAGCACTACATAACTGCTGCCTGCATTAGCTATGCTGAAGTAGACAGGGAAAGACAGTGCCTTGAAAATAACCCCACATCTAGTCACCACAAACTGTTCTTTGCATCAACCTCTACTGAAGTCTCATATGGCAAAAGAACATCTATTCAGTAAAACCACCGCAGTACTAGTAAGTCTGTACTACTAAAATGTGACACGAGGTACTACGTGCCCTTCAATCGTTTTCGGGTGGGCAGGGGAAAGTGGAAGCTAACCGATAAAAGCTCTTGATCCAGTCTATCAACTACAGCCTGAGAAAGCAGAAAGGGTTACAGCACAGGCCACATCACCTTGATAGCCCTCCTGCACCAGACCCGACCAGACTGTGAAATAAGCCTAGCAATAGGTCTGCTTAAATCTATTGTTTGGATTAATCGTATCAAGTCAAGCCTGACAGAGCGTGATCAAAAAGACAACTACCTACCAGATCACCTGTAGCGCGGTAAGGAAAGACAAATGAAAGTCATCTCTGAATGGCAGTCCCTCAGGGGAACGAATGCGTATTTATTAAAAGGGAACTATGCAGAATCGGGACATCACCCTTTTCAGACAGATGAGATATGCCATCTATTTTCTCAGTTGCAAGACAGACCATACTACCCCTGCAGAGTCTCCACATACGTTTCCTTAAGTGAATGACTTTTACAAGCCTATTGACAATCTACATGTTCTCTGAATACCTTTTCTCCAGGTCGAATGCTGCCACATTTCAGGAGATTGATGTCAGCCTTGCAGTCATCCATGAAGCCGCAGATCAACCGATAATCGCTGAAGATAATGGCTGTCATTTTAGTGATGTACTGATGACACTGGTACTCAGTGATGTTGCCTCTGTGATCCACCAAACATGACACCAAGAAGCCTTTACCAACTGGTTCATCTGCACAGTCCTTGATCTGTTTAAAAAAAAAAAAGAATAAAAATACACTGGCTGCAGCTACTGAATTTAACCTTTTTTTAAAAAAAACTCCTCAGAAACTTGCATCTCTAGCTTCAAAATCTGGTGGTAAAGAAAGCCTCTAGGCTTTAGTTTGATTTTCAGTAAGTCAGAATACTTGAAAATATTTCAAAAATGAGAAATACCTCATGCATGCCAGTATCTGAAGAAAGCAAACGCAGCGACCTTGAGGATTATAAACCCTCTTGCTCAATAATCATCTTTCATAATAATCACATTGAACCCCTGCAATCAAGTGGATTTGTAGGAAAAATGCTAGTTTGACAAACCTTTATTTAGAAAGCTGAGCATATTACAACATCACTAAATCATACTTGGACCCCCCCATTAGCCACCTGACCTCATACAATATAACATTTTGGCGAGAAGTGAGACTGATTCAAGAGTCAACACAATATTTATTGAACTGTTTATAACTTGCTCGAAGCTGAAAATTACTATAAAGGAAAATCCTCATCAAATCCATTTTTATCAGGCTTTTATAGGAACTGATTGTTGGTACTAAACTGTTTTACTCAGTGGTCTAAAAAAAAAAAAAAGAAAATCACGGCTAACAGAAGCTGAAAGCAATGCAGGGATTGGAAAAGCAGTGTACATGAACAGACAGGTCCCCAGTATAAATCACAGCCCGCACTGCTCAGGGAAGCAGGCAGTAAGGCCAAAAACGTCACCTTTGGAAGTAAAAGATGCAGGCAGTTTTGACAGCGTCTTTCCAAAGGAAGTGGAAAACATGGTTACGTATTAGTTAAGGACGCTCCCCAAGGAATCTTGCGACAGCAGCAGTGCAATGCCTTGCTCCAAGGAGTACTGAGATTACACAGATGCTTTTTAACCCTGGAAAGCCCGTGTTGAAAGACTTGCCCAGTTCTGGTGTCCCCTGTTGTGCTGGTTTTGGCTGGGGTAGAGTTATTTTTCTTCACAGTAGCTAGTATGGGGCTGTGTTTTGGATTGGTGCTGGAAACAGTGTTGATAACACAGGGATGTTTTCGTTACTGCTGAGCAGTGCTGACACAAAGTCAAGGCCTTTTCTGCCTCTCACCCCACCCCACCAGCGAGTAGGCTGGGGGTGCACAAGGAGTTGGGAGGGGACACAGCCAGGACAGCTGACCCCAACTGACCAAAGGGATATCCCACACCATATGGCGTCATCCTCAACACAAAGCTGGGGGGAAGAAGGAGGAAGGGGGGGACGTTCAGAGTGATGGCGTTTGTTTTCCCAAGTCACCGTTAGGCGTGATGGAGCCCTGCTTTCCTGGAGATGGCTGAACACCTGCCTGCCGAGGGGAAGGAGTGAATTAATTCCTTGTTTTGCTTTGCTTGTGCGCGCGGCTTTTGCTTTGCCTATTAAACTGTCTTTATCTCAACCCACGAGTTTTCTCACTTCTACCCTTCTGATTCTCTCCCCCACCGACCGGGGAGGGAGTGAGCGAGCGGCTGTGTGGGCTTAGTTGCCGACTGGGGTTAAACCACGACACCTGTTCATGAGTATGCTGAAAACTGCAGCCATAATGACGCAGAAAGCATGCTCGACAGCCAGACACTAAAGTTCAATGGTGACAGTTTTTCAAGCAATAGATACATGGGTTGACTTGATTACATCAAAGATTTGTTCCCGTACAAATACTGAAGGGCTCATCAATCTAAAGGGAGATCCATGGCAATCAATAATCCAGGCGGGTTCAGATACCAAGCAAGGGCACCGCTAAGGGAACAGGCAGGGAACCATTTTATCAGTTCTCAGATACCAAGTTGGAATCTTTATACTGGAAATTTTAAAAAATGGAGAGCCATCTCTAGAAAGATATATTCTAATTCAAACAAGAATTAACTCAGGGCATCCTGTGACAGACTCATACAGGTCAGACTAGCTGAATAAAACAGATCTCTCTCTGTCTCAGCTTGAGGCCGTTACTTTCTATATAACAAATAAAACATGCAACTTTTTAAACACCATTATTTGAAGGCAGATGTAGGCTGCTAGAACATTTTGTATTTAATCTATATAACTATTAGAAAAACATAGTTACTAAGGTCAATGTAATTGTTATAGATAAGGCATGAAATACATTTTGAAGTGAAAACACGTATGATTCATTGCAGGGTGAAAGGGAGAGAGTTGAGCAAGCTTTCTCCGAGAAAGCTGCATCTTCGGTTTGGCCCTACTTCAGCTCAAGTACCGCAAGCCAAACCAGCACACAACAGCAACATGTTGTTTTTGGAAGAGCCTGGCTTTGGAAACAGCTCCAGAGCTCCACGGCCCGAGCCAGCAAACTGTGTAAAAGACCAAGCAATCATGTTATTGCCTGGCCACTTCTGAAACAACCACCATTATTTGGTAGCCAACTATAATTCTAGATTAGAATTATTGCCAGAACTTATAAAAATCGCAACAGTTGAGAAAAAAGTTGATATTTAAATCTATATTTAGCTGATAAAATTAAAGGTGGACTTTTCAGAATGTACCCGGTTGGGACAGTCACCAATTCCCAAATGACTTTCACTAGAAATTACTCTTTTAGTTGTATTTTCTTCTTAATACAAAGCAATACTTAAAATCAGAGCTCAGTCACCAGCAAGAACACACCTCCCTGTTAATGTGAATTAAAGAAAAATATTAATAGGCTAATACTGTATGTTAGCAGTATATTCCCCACCATATACATCAGTTTTAGTGTTTTAGAAATACTTTTAAAAATTAGTGGAATAGTTTATGCACCTGCCTCAGCATTAAGTATCAGAAGATCAAACACTTGAGATTATTGTTACTTATGCAACTTTTTTTTTCTTTCAATAAAAACCACTCACCAAATGGCAAAATACCAGTAGTTCATGCTGTCATTCACCACAATTGTAAGAGGAACACTGGTGGTTAATGTACAGCTAAAATGCTATGCTCTTCCCACTGCTTTTAGACATCATATCCCAGATTTAGAAGGCATCATTTACAATAATGCCAGACTGTCACTGTACAAAAGTGGTAATTAAACAGACTGTTAAAAGAGCATTTTTAAGGATGCCTTGGTTGTAAAAATTCTGCAGCAGCTATATGACATAAAACAGAAAAATATAATCTTCCCTATGATTGCAAAAAGTGAGATTTGACAGATTTTGCAGTGTTTGCTTTTGGGAATTACTGAACTCCAAACACAACGTAACCCTTTGATGCAAGCTGTTTTCCTTCCACTGTTTAATATTCTAGCCTTCTTGTATTAACTATTTTCTTGATCCCTCCTTACATTAAATAACGGTTTCCCACTAATGCTATTCCTACCGTAACTCAGCTGGTGCTGAGAAGGGGAAGCAGAACCCTAGCAGGCCATGACGAAAAAAGCAATTGAGTACCCCTCAACTACACTACTAATTCCCAAACTTCTGGAGCCAGGCTGCTGTTGACACCCTCAATTTCTCAGATCTTTGTGTGTTCCTCTCAAATGAAAACTTTGTAAAGAACGGGGAACCACATAGGTGGTTCCATCAAAGCCTGAGGACTTGGGGAACCACTCATCTTAAACCTGCTCTGAGCACTGACATACTCCTCTTGTCTAATACGCAAGTCTGCACCACTGGAAGCTAGACCTATGGAAAATAAACTGCCAACACAAACTGGGGTTGGAGAGACAATCTGCTATTCACGCAACTGATTGTCTTTCAAGAAAATCTACTTTAAAAGCCACAAAGGGGCCATCATCTACAGCAAACTGAATTTTTTTTTAAAGAGCAAGTTTAGGGGTAGGTGAAGTTATTCTGGTGGATATACAAATAATGTTTTTCAGAGCATGGTTTAATGACTGAATTAAGTCAGCTGAAGCCTGTACCACTGAAGAGCCTTGGTTCCACTGCTTCCCCTGAAGTCTAGCTGAAAACTACCCCAACCAAAGGGGAAAAGCCTCAGCTCAGTCAGCTCCTGCGTGGCTGAGCACACAGCCTCAAGAGCTCTAGCATGAACACAAGGAAAGAAATGATTAATCAAGTAATCTTTGAAGCTGGACCGAGGTGTGTTGATGCTTGAGATACAGAAAACTAACTCCTAGTGCAACCTAAAAAGAGGAAGTGCCTAACAGAGAGTCCTTGGAGTAATTAAACTTTGAGCCTTGAAGAAAAAAACGTTGATTCATCATTTGAGCTCTACATGCTTATCCTCTCTGCTAGCCAAGACACAATCCAAAACCAGCCTTATGGTTATGGTTCCACTACATTCAGTGGAACCCCTGCTGCACCAACACTGCTACAATTGTCCAACACTCGATAAAGAGGGGACAAACCCAATCCACAACAGATTTCTGACAAAAGGTCAGGTAAGACCTAATGAGTTGCTAGTTTATAATTTCTTTCCCCCGCCCCTTTGCCTGGCACCACTAAGGTAACTGGTTTTTTTCCGCAAGGAGATCGAATTAATTACACCCAGTAATTTGGCATATAAGACTAGAGCTTCCCCAAACCCAAAACATTATTCACACACTAATTCACTACCACAAAGAAATGAAAAAACCTTAGTGCCACAACAGCACCCATGTCTTTCTTCTGACTTACCTCTGCAATAGTGGACTTGCAGACTTCTCTGGCCACGGATTCAAACTTCGGATCTGTAGTCAGGTTCAGCTTGTAGTTCCACAAGAGCTATAGAGAAAGCATTTATATAAAGGGGGTTTAAGAGTTTCCCATGGAGAATGACAAATATTTTGCTTCAGACAAGAATGAAACATCATTTATTCCCAATCTGTATCGTCATCCTTCTACAGTGCAACAATCAATGCAAAGTCTCCTTGACGACAATTTTGTCCCTTCATTTCCGCAATAATTTTCTCATCTTGAACAAATTCAGACTGTTAAAAATCTCTCCACAAGGTCATGAGCTGACTCATTAAAAGGAAATATATCTAATGAAGACAATTTCAAAATTGAAAGGATAAAGCAATGAAAGCTGTAACTTGCTACCTGCTCCATATTCAGCAATGTCTTTAGCCCACCACACCCTTCTGTGCCATGGCTCGTCTGCCTGATGCAAATGACCTACCAAAAATGAAGTCCTCAATATGAGCAGATTTCATGCTGAAAACCTAATAAAAGCCTAGCACAAAAGGAAGGAGGACAATACAGCTGGTCCCTTATTCACCTCCTTCTGTGAGGGGCTGCGAACAGACAACTTTTTGGATGCAGATGTATTTCAAATCTATAGGAGGTTCTCTCTCTTGCGAAGCACAATGATACATTAGAGGTTAGACTGCAAGACGCCTCAGTAAGGACGCCTGTTCTTCTAAGAGCCAGAGCGGAACTCATGTAGGAGCCTAGATGCATTTGGTCGTTGTGCAAGAATCGATCCTAGGTAAGTCACACTCTGCAGATGTATACACATCCCAGATGTCCTCCTGGGGCACCATGAAGTAAAAATGCAGGGTAAGATAGCAAAACCTCAGCAAACTAACAGCTGAGATGTTGCCCGAGAAAACCTCTATTAGCTCATCTGTTTTTCTCTAGGAACTTGAGTTGCATTTAAACACTTTTCATTAACATAAAGATTAAATAGTTTTAAAAATTCATTTCAAATACTCTGCCTTTGTGACAAAATCAACTTAACACCAAAAAGATAAACAGTTTGGTCAAACTTTACCTTGAAGTTTCAATTGTACACAAAACACTAAGAAAACACAACAACATGCTTGTACACAAGGAAAGCAGTTTTACATCATCTCCAAGAGGGCGGAAGCACGCAGAGAGAACTAAAAATGGAATCAGCACAGCTGCACTGTCTTCCACACCTCGTATCATGGAGTTGTGAAAATTTAAAAAAAGGAGATGATGGGATCCTAGGGTATTTCAGAGGGAGTAAGAAGTTGTAAATCTACAGGTTTAATAGATAAAAGTGAACGAAGAGGGAACCTGTCCTCGCAAAGAGTGCTGTAGACCTCTCCCAGCCAGGATCGGAAGGACAAGAATGAGGACCAACACCACAAGGATACACTTCTGCATTTGTAATCTCAAACTTTGGAGAGTCTCAAAATGAAATGCTCTCCAAAGGAACCTTCCCACAGACAGAAGGAAGGTTAAACTTGCAGCTTAAAAAAACAGATTTTAGCGCTAGGCAGTATTTTCCCAGGAGACAATCAGCAGTTGTACTACCAAAGACTGCAGAGAGGGGCAAAGAAAACATTTTCTTTTTCGCCAGTATTGGGACCGGCACTGTTTAACATCTTTGTCAGTGACATGGACAGTGGGATCAAGCGCAACCGCAGCAAGTTTGCCAGCGACACCAAGCTGTGTGGTGCAGTCGACACACTGGAGGGAAGGGATGCCATCCAAGGGGACCTGGACAGGCTTGAGAGGTGGGCCCGTGTGAACCTCATGAAGTTCAACAAGGCGAAGCGCAAGGTCCTGCACATGGGTTGTGGCAATCCCAACCACAAATCCCAAGCTGGGCAGAGGATGGGTTGAGAGCAGCCCTGAGGAGAAGGACTTGGGGGTGTCGGTTGATGAGAAGCTCAACATAACCCGGCAATGTGCGCTTACAGTCCAGAAAGCCAACTGTAACCTGGGCTGCATCAAAAGATGCGTGACCAGCAGGTCGAGGGAGGTGATTTTCCCCCTCTACTCCACTCTCGTGAGACCCCACCTGGAGTAAGTACTGCGTCCAGCTCTGGGGCCTCCAACACATAAGGACTTGGACCTGTTGGAGAGAGTCCAGAGGAGGGTCACAAAGATGATCAGCGGGCTGGAGCACCTCTCCTATGAAGGCAGACTGAGAGAGTTGGGGTTGGTCAGCCTGGAGAAGAGAAGGCTCCGGGGAGACCTTATAGCAGCCTTCCAGTACCTGAAGGGGGCC